TCAGAATTTTTGATTATTGATTAGAAGGTGCTCCTAAATTTTTGACCGTGCTCCTAAATTTTTTTGATTAGGAGCATATGCACTCCTAAAAAGTAAAGTAAGCGTAGAGCCCTGAAATAACTAATTAAACAGTCTGGTCTATATGTATTGGTTTATTATTATAAATAATGAAAGAATACCAGCTACAGAGCACCTCTAACTTCACATTAACTTTATGCTGGACGCCTGAATTCAGTGTATGACGAATTATAGTTGAATCTGTGTACTATTATTCAGTTTCCAGTGAACAATCATGCGTAAGCCAACCATGAGTCAACGAAAGCACAGTAAGCCGTGAGCGTCTGAGACTGCAACCTCATCCTGAAGGGTGGAAACTGTATATACGTACCGAGTTTCTCCACGAGTTTGAGCATCACACCGCCGATGTGGATTTCCCCGGTGACTCTGAGAGACACGTCCCTGTTGAGGTCAGTGACATGCATCTTCAGCTCCCAGGTCCCGTCTGCGTAGCAGCCATCCGGCATCCGTATACCGTCCAACGCCATCCTATAGAAACAGCATCAAAACCATTATGATCTGTCAACTTCAGCAACAAGTGGCCTACAGGCTAAATCAAAGCAAAGCTCTTCAGACTGAAATACAGATCTCAAAAGCTAGTCAGCTTCCCACCTAGACAACATTTTGGACATTACAGGGTGCACTTATGATGCTCTCCAGGTAGGCAGCACACTACTTTTTGAGCAAACAGCAATATACACAATGCAAACAGAATAGTTTGTTAGTAGTCTATTATTTTTCTATTCTATCTGTTTTCTTTTTATTCAGTATATGATTTAAAAAACAACCTTGCTACTTATACTGCGTTAAGCTAACTGAGACTTGTTATAGCACTTGCATATCATTGCTCTTTTGTTGATTTTGATTGCTTCCATTGTCCTCATTTGTAATGAAAAAATTTGCAAATGTATAAATAAATAAACCTCTTTAGCGCTGAAAAATGGATAATAGTATTAGAATAATTAAATATTAGACATCATACATTAGATATGAATAGTTTATTTGCAAAAACAGATAACTCCGTTTTTAAAATTGTCACAAATCGTGTTTTTTTTTTTTATTATGTTATCATGTTTTTATTTTGTTTTGTTAGTTTGACTGCAGTTTGATTGAGATTAATTGGAATGCACAATGAAAAAACATGACTTTTGAAAATTGTTAAAAACGGAGTTATCTGTTTTAGCAAACGAACTCTTCTTTGGAACAAGTTAATTTAATTTTTAAAATTGTCACAAATCGTGTTTTTTTTTTTTATTATGTTATCATGTTTTTATTTTGTTTTGTTAGTTTGACTGCAGTTTGATTGAGATTAATTGGAATGCACAATGAAAAAACATGACTTTTGAAAATTGTTAAAAACGGAGTTATCTGTTTTAGCAAACGAACTCTTCTTTGGAACAAGTTAACGTTACACAGAAACGTTCGTCATGCCATTTAAACTGAATAGAATTTATATTATTTCTAGAAGCCTGTGCGAACTAAAGTTGTTAAATCCTACCAGCCGTCTAATTTAATAAATCGCAATAAAATGTCACACTGGAGGTCATGATGGTTGTAGTTTAGTGAAATTAAACCTGTAGCTCCAGCAACTAACGGTCAACTCTGAGCTAGGGCTCTGATGACGTCAGCAGCCCCGCTCCAAACGCCAACTAAATAAAGACAGCCAGGTCAATGAGAGAAAACACACCGAAACCACTGAGAAAGTTACAGTTCGCTCGCTTTCTGGTTGAATACGAGCATACGTTTTCGAAGCCAAGTGAGCAGCAAGGTTTGAGGAGCGCAACAGAGAGATTTTTATTCAGAGTTGCGCCAGACAAATCCTGAGAGCCTGGGTGAAATCATAGCGTTCACTAACCTTCACAAATACGCCGAAACAAATCCGCAAAACACCACTTCAGTTCCCAGAACTTCAACAGGCTACGCGTTTTCTTTCCTTCGACCGCGTATTTAATCCAATCATGAGGAAGGTTCCCAAAAGGAAAAAGAAAAATCGCCAAAGTCCAGCGGCGGAGCTCCTGAAGGGTTTTGCGTTAATGGAGTCCAGTGGTCTCTCTCTCTCTCTCTCTCTCTCTCTCTCAGACACACACACACACACATACACATCCAATCATGAGGAAGGTTCCCAAAAGAAAAAAGAAAAATCGCCAAAGTCCAGCGGCGGAGCTCCTGAAGGGTTTTGCGTTAATGGAGTCCAGTGGTCTCTCTCTCTCTCTCTTCCCGCCCTCAGATTACGTCACTCAAGCTCCGCTCGCGCTTTCCATCATCACTTCATGACGTGTTCCTTCTAAATAACGGACGTCAGGTATTTTTTTATTATTTAATTTAAATTATATCGTTAAAAATCAGCAAAGCGTTTTGCTTCTTTTTCTTTGTAACTGTTTTAAGAAAGAACGCTTGTATCGTTGAGAACATTATCAGACCTTCCTGTAAATGTGTGAAATTCAAAAAAGAACAAATTAAATGCAAATTAAAGTAAATGTGAAGCCAGCTAACAGGGAACCTGGCGAGGTCCTCTCTGCTCTTTATTGGTGTTCTTAACCGTTCTTAAAAGCACAAAACATTGTTTTTACATCGTTCAGTTAAGACTTTTTTCCTGAAACGTACTTGGACGTTCACCTAACATGTTTTAACGTTACTGTTTCAGATTCAAAAGTAGCCTTACATCCCCATGATGTTTGCAAAATTATAAAATGAAACGTTCACATAACCAAAACAAAAACATAAAAAACTAGACGTTTTGAACGTTCAGAGAGCATTCAGAAATAACGTTTTCATAACTTAATGGAAACGTTATCAAAACGTTCTTAGAACATATTTTATTTTTGAGAGCAACGTTTTCATGCAACGTTTTTTTTCCTGAAATGTTTTGGACATTCACCTAACTAATCAGATTACTTTTTTCAAGTAACGAGTAAAGTAACGCATTACTAATCAGTTAACAGTAATAAACACAACACACACTTAGTGTTTCAAAGCTTTTCTGCGGGAGTAAATCCAAGAGTTAACAGGCCATCTGGAATATTATTTGACTACAGGGGTGAAGGCTATAGTAGCTAACTGCCTTTTATGGGAATAAAATGTTGTAAGATACCTGTATGGTCGACTATAAGTTCTTTTACAAGTAAAATATACTCTAAATAAGCCCTTTAGTATAGCTATCTATCTATTCTCCTTCCCTGCTCATCTGATTTCATGTTTACTATAGATACTGTAGAATTTTTTATCATCATCATGTGAAGTTGCTTGTGAAGTCAGTTAATAGTATACAGTATTTTACAGCTGACATAAAACCTATATGCTATTTCAGATGTGTGGGGGGGGGGGGGGGGGGAAAAAAAAAAAAAACAGAAAAAAAAAAAAAAAAAAAAAAAAAAA